TCAAAGAAGACATTTAGTATTTGTTTTTTTAGGGATTGGCTAGCTTCACTAAGCATAGTCTGCTCTAGTGCCATCCATTTCCCTGCAAATTCCATGATTTTGTCATTTTTTAGTGCTGCGTAATATTCCATGGTGTATAAATGCCACTTTTTTTTTTTTTTTTTTGAGACAGGATCATATTAAGGTGCTTAAACCCTCTCTAGAATGCTGAGACTGGCCTTGAACTTGAGATCCTCCTGTCTTATTACAGGCGTGTGTTTACCGGATTACAGGCGTGTGTTTACAGGATTACAGGCTTGTGTTACCAGGCATGGATAGTGTGCTTATTTTTTTTAATATATATATTGATTTATTTTTAGTTTTAGGTGGACACAACATCTTTATTTTTATGTGGTGCTGAGGATCGAACCAAGTGCCTCATGCATGCTAGGYGAGCATTCTGCCACTRAGCCACAACTCCAGCCCCTGGAGTCATTTCTTAGCACTAGAACTTATTTAGGTTATGGCTCCTGGACGCAGGACAATGCCTAGCAGAATAGAGAGCTTGGAGATCTATCATTATTGAATGATGAACCAAATGAAATAAAAAGGGTGTAGACACCAAAACTGGTACAGACTGAAAAAAAAAAAACATGCAACATTAGCCATTGGCGTTTTATATTTGTTGCTATAATATTTGCACTTCACAAGAGGGGCTTTGGGTTTATATTTGCATAACAAATTGGCTCAAAAATAACAAATTGGCTCAAAAAAATAATTGACCTAGAACAATAGTCTCATATCAGAGTTGAGCTCTAATTGAAACCACACAAAGCACAAAATCACTGGCAGCTTTGAAATCACACACCCACCTCTCTTTCTCCCCGCCCACAAGGTTTACCAAAAATTCTTGGGCGGTTCCCCCGCTGGCTAAATGTTGACGGMTATTTAAATGGCCAATTGCCATTTAGGCGAGGGTGCTGCCTGCTGGGTTTCAGAAGAGAAGAAGGTGACTTTCACCTGGTGCAACTGGATGCTACACAGGTAACGTAAAATGGGCAGTGGGGTACTGGGGTACTGGGGATGAAGTGGAAGGAACCTCCCTTMATTTTCTATCAGAGGCACAGGAGCCACCCCAGATAAAACTTCAGACTAAGAGCCCAGCTGGGTGCCACTGCACGTCTATAATTCCAGCGGCTCAGGAGGCTAAGGCAGGAGGATAGCAAGTTCAAAACCAGCCTCAGCAACTCAATGAGATCCTGTCTCTAATAAAATACAAAATTGGGCTGGGGATGTAGCTCAGTGGTTGAGTGCCCCTGAGTTCCACCCTTGATACTAATCCCTCCTCCCCCTCCAAAAAAAAAAAAAAACAACAAAAAATAACAAAATTTAAGACTAAGATAACTGAATTTAGCTGGGATTGCAAGCCTGCATCCCTATGCACTGCTCTGTTTCTTCCTCTTAAATGAAAAGTGGGAAATAAGGCTAACAATGAAGGGCCTGGAACACCARGGGTGTAACTCTAAACCCTTAAGTCAGGCTATCGGTGCCCGTCGGTGTGTGCAACCCGGTTTAGAGAGAAGCAGATTGGTTGTGGGAGGCCAGAGTGCCKGCTTTCACAGTTGAGGAAGGAAAGATAGTGTAGAGATCAGAAATGGAAGAGAAGATAAATGTATCCGGGCCTGGTGGTACATGCCTGTAACCCCAGTGACTCTGGAGACTGAGGCAGAATCACGGAGTTGGAAGCCAGCCTCCACAATTTAGGGAGGCCTTCAGCAATTKATCAAGACCCTGTCTCAAAATAAAAGATTAAAAGGGCTGGGGATGTGGCTCAGTGGTTAACTGCCCCTGGGTTCACCCTGATACAAAAAAAAAAAGAAAGAAAAAAAAAAAGAGAGAGAGAAGAAAGAAAGAAATTTTAAAAGGTAAGAAAAAGAAGAAAGATAGACAAGAGATGTATTGGTCAGAGGTATCTGATTGGGCCTCCGCCATCAACTTCCCCTGTGCAGGTCACAGAATTGCACAGGGTTCTGGTGGACTTGTCTATGGTTGGTTGTATTGCTTTTGGCCCAGAAGATGCAAACTGTTATGTGCCTCTTCAAAATAATAGCCCCTGCTTTCTGTCTACTAGACATAGCATAAAATAGAAATTATGAAGGCACTGTGTCTTTTAAAAAAAATCCCCTTTTGTAGCACTTCCTTAAAAACAGCTATTTAATGCAACTCGCCAGTGTGTTCTTGATAGTGATGTCTTGACAATTGTGATATTAATGGCACATCTTTATAAAGGGTTGAAGCGTCTTCCCGGTAAGTAGTCAGCTTGTGTTTTTCAAGATACCTTGTAAGAACTGTTCAGTTTTCTCCTTTGGCTGAATGAGTGTTTCTCAGGCTTTTGTCCTAATTGTCCTCCTATTAAGTTGCAAGATATATTAAGTCACTGAAGCGGTCGATAATGTTTTCAAGGTTTTTTTCCCCTTCCCTTTGGGTTGTTACTTTTAAGAGTTGTGATAATTTTCTGGTGTATTTTAGTGTAAGACAGCAGTTTTATTGAAGTATATAATTCAAAATACAACATTCAGTGCTTCTGAGTCAAGGAATTATTAACTGAAAGTCACTGAGGCAGCTTTTAAAAATTATCCACTACTGATGATATTCATTAAAGATCATAGCTCAAGCAGTGATTTATGGATTTTCTTTTTCTAACTTCTTTTAACTGACTTGATACAGTGATTTTACAAAGCTAAATTGAATTTGATTTTATTTTTGTGGTTTTAAGGATCRAACCCAGGGCTTCACACATGTTAGGCAAGCACTGTATCACTGAACTCCATCCCAGCCAATTGAATAGAATGTTATTGTTTAACAGATTGTATATTTGGATATGTGTAATATTGACAATAGATTGCATCTCCTAATTTACCATGTCTTGTTGTATTAGTATTTAATATGAAAGAGTAAGTTCATTGTATTTGCAGGATAAATGTAGGAACTTGTATGAACAGTTGCTGSATTTGTTCACTGAAATGATAGGCAGTATTGGGCCCACTATATTTATCATATTTCTTAGGTGGGTTGGTTTGTGCCATTCTGTAGAAAGTTGAGTTAAAAAGCATTTTAAGCATTGATTGGTGTGATAATTGTCTATTGAAAGCAAAACCTAATTCATTTAAAGAAATAAGGCAATAGATAATGTAAAATAACCTAGGATTCAAGAGATTCTGTGAATTGGCTGCACTGGTTAAATTTTATTTTGTAATGTAAATCCATTTGTCATGAAAAAAAGAGAAGTCTTTTGTGAGATTCTCAGAAGGCAAAAAGGGTTTTTAAAAGTCCACTATCATAAAGGAGGGTTATGCTAAGAAATAGGATTTCGATTGTCAAAACTTTTAAATACTCAAAATGTTTAAAAGGATTTTGAAGTACTTGAAATTCCTGAGCTATATCCCTGAGTTATTTCTGTATTAATCAGTGAAACAGTGTGGACAATTAGCTTTTATTTTTTTAACATTGAATCTTTTCTTTTTTAAGTAATTTTTTTTTAGTTGTTCATGGACACAATACCTTTATTTTTTTTATGTGGTGCTGCAGAGGGAACCCAAGGCCTCAAATGTGCTAGGCAAGCACTCTACTACTGAGCTATTAACTCTTTTTTTTTTTGTATCAGGGATTGAACTCGGGGGCACTTGACCACTGAACTACATCCCCAGCCCTATTTTGTATTTTATTTAGAGACAGGGTCTCACTGAGATGCTTAGCACCTTGCTTTTGCTGAGGCTGGCTTTGAACTCACAATACTCCTGCCTCAGCCTTCAGCTATTTTCATATTTTAAAAGTTGTAATGAGGGCTGGGGATGTGGCTCAAGTGGTAGCATGCTCGCCTGGCATGCGTGCGGCCTGGGTTCGATCCTCAGCACCACATACAAATAAAGATGTTGTGTCCGCCGAAAACTAAAAAATAAGTATTAAA